GATTTACAATAGAAAATGACAGTTTCAAGGTAGCTTCTAGAGGCAGTGATTCCAGAAGAATAAACTGGATCTATGGTATAAGTACTTACCTATAAGCTCCAACTCAAAATCACCACATCAAAATCACCCCACTCATACAGGGGTCTCTTTCTTCTGTCATGACAGATAATGGCGTCTCTATCTTAGTGTGCAGCAAGTGCTGTGTAAGTAAGCCTAGAATATGGAACTGCTGCTTTATCTTTGATCTCCAAGAGATCTTCCTGATCTCTAATCACAAAGCCCAGAAAGCACATTCATCTTTCCAGTGGGGGCCACACTCCATGCCTTCCTAAGGCTGGGCACACAAGGCGTTCAACAGAGTTGACCTCGAATATGTTCCTGGCAGTGGAGGTATGACTGGATATCCTTTCTGGAAAGTTATTTCACAGTATGTTTCAAGAGATTTTAAAATGTTTATATCCACTGCCCTAAGAGTTCCACTTCAGGAAATCTATTCTAAGGAAATAATCAGTGGTACAAAGACCGATTAATATTTTAAAGACAGTCTTATAATAGAGAAGAACCGGAAAGAACCTGAATATCCAAAATTATGAGAATGGTTAAGTGACTATCTGTGTGATACAAACATTAAGAACAATTAAGAAAAATAGTTTAAAAATAGGGCCGGCTCTGTGGCTTAGCGGTTAAGTGCGCGCGCTCTGATGCTGGCGGCCCGGGTTCGGATCCCGGGCGCGCCCCGAGGCACCGAGGCACCACTTCTCCGTCCAACGCGAGGCCGAGTCCCACGTACAGCAACTAGAAGGATGTGAACCTATGACATACAACTATCTACTGCGGCTTTGGGGGGAAAAAAAATGAATAAATAAAGTCTTTAAAAAAAAAAAAAATAAACCCAGGAAGGTGTTTATGCTACAATGTTAAGTGCATACACACACACACACACACACACACACACACACACACATATACACCACAATGCACATATATATGAACATATATGTGGTGTCACATATATGGTGTCAACTACACTAAAAATGTATAGGAAAAAAGACCAGAAAAATATAGGCCAAAATACTGCAAGTTATCTTTGAGTAGCTAAATTATGGGTGATAATTTCCCGATTCCTCATACTGTTTTTTTGAACTTCCTGTATTCTACAATGAGCATGTATTACTTTTTAATTAAAAGAAAAAATAATTTTTAAAAGCACAAATCTTCTTTCAAGATAAACAGAAGAAAAGGAGGGAGGGAGGGAAGAAAAAAGCCCAAAATAGAACTGTGGAGGGTTAGGTAGCCTTTCCTAAAACATTCCACACATACCTTTGGGTTCCTCAGCCGCCGCCGCTGCTTCCCCTCCACAGCTGAGCATACTCTCCCACTCTCCTCAGGCCCATCTCCTTGGTCACCCCTTGCAAGCTGGAGACAGGACTCTACATGACACTGGTACTCTCTGAGTGGGACCAGGGATTTACAGAGATAACACTTCTCATTCCTGGCCAATCAGAAGAAAGGGAGAAAAAGCAATTTTACGATGTGCTTTTGCCTCTGGGCTCCTCGCTATGTCTCAAATTGTGTTTTTACGTCTCAAAGTTATTCTTCAGAGGAGACACATCAACCAAAGCAGATTCACTCAGCGGGATCTCCAATAAAACGAACCCAACGCCAATCAAAAGGACTGAGTGATTAGCAGTTTTCCCCGGCTGTTTCTCTGTACCCTGCTGTTGCAGCAGCGGGGTGGTAACGAAATCAGCTCTTCTAACTATCCCAAACAATACTGATTGCTCTTCAGACATAAAATATTCTGTCAAACTCTTCTGAAATTAAGTGTAATAGTTTTTTCAAATGGAAGTTAAAATTTAGACAGAAAAGGGAGCACCAAGAGCATTAAATCAAGCTGACATTTTTACCAGGGTGGATGAACTTGTCTGATTAGTAAATCAAGTCTGTCTATATTCTAACTTCCTTAATTCCACAACTTGCAACATCAACTAGGAAGTTACCAAAACCATGTGGTTCTGCCAGAGGCTTTTGCATAACTTCATCTACATAGTTATTCTTAACTTTTTATAATAGTAGAATTTGTGGAAAGAGAGGAAATTGTGTCCTTGAGGTAAGGTTTAATGGGCATCAGTGAAAATGGAATCACTGGGGACAAAGGAAGAAAATACACATTTATTAAGTATTTTCTCTGCGGTGAGAACTGGTGCAAGGCCCTTTAAACACATTTCTCAATTAATTCTTTGGCCCTTTTAGGAAGGTACTATTCTCCCCAGAGTCCTATAGCTAACAATTGTTAGAACCCAGGTCTGCCTGACTCATAAGATCATCTTAGTTTTAAGAAGCTAAAGAAAAGTTTCCAAAGCTTGCTAATATCTTAGACTTCTCTTTCTAGCCATTACTATTCAGTTACTATAGCAAGAGAGATTAGCATTAGCTCTAAGGAAAAATTTCTCTGGAGGTCTTTAAAATAGGAGAAATAAGTCTCTCAAGTACTTAATCACCTGGGAGAATGCAAGTACAGCTCTGCTTTATAAAAAAGCTAGACCAGTGTACCTTTCAAGGTTTATCAATTAATGCAAAATGCATTTATTAATCCCCTACTATACGAGAGAGAGCAGCATTGTGGAGGGAGTATAAGTTTCTGAGTCAGGTAGGCTTTGCCAGTTCTGGCCACATGATCTTAACCAGTTACTTATAATTTCTCTTCAGTTTCTTTATTTAAAAAAAAAAAAAAAAAGAAGAACTACCTTATCAGCTATTGTGAGAGTTACAAAGTAAATAAAGCACCTAGCACAGTGGCTGGTACCTAACATTAGGTACTCAACAAACAGCTATTCCTGTCTCAGACACATTTTATTAGATGCCAGGAATATAAACATGAATGAAGGCAAGTATCTGCCTTCAAATAACTCACAGTCTAGCTAGGGAGACAGAAATGTCAAACAAGAAAAAAAAATTACTGCAATATAGTATGATGAATACAGTCCTAGAGGAATGTCCGCATGACAGTAGGATTCCAAAAGGAGCTAGTGATCAGCTCTGCTCAACCGGATTAGGGGAAGCAGCCCTGAATTAGGGTCTGAGATCTGTGTTTCAAAGATAAATGTTTCTGCCTAATGACTAACTGTTCTAATGTATTGTTGGTAATGTCTTTACTTTTGAGAGCCAGTACTTATTACCTGACCCCACCCTTAGAATGCACTTTCTTAGTCAAGCTGCAACCCACAACCCAAGGAAGTCTTCTATATTGCTCAACCTTGTGCAACTCAACTTCTGTACCATTACATCGCAAAATAGCTCACTGTTCCCAAAAGCACAAACACCAATATGCAAATTCAAGGAAAACAGAAAGCTAAGAGCAATGTGGAAATAGAGTGGGTGGCAGGAATTTTTTTCAGGGTAATGAAAAGGGATACAGAGGCCACCTACGCTGATATAAACTGGGAATAAGAAAAAGGCATCCAAGCTGCAAAGTGATTGGCAGGCCAAAAAAATCCTGGGTAAGAGAGGAATTGGTCTCTTTTATTAGGTCCAAGCAATGGTATTTCATGTGAAACAAGAGCTCTGTGAACACAGTGTACCTACTTACTTGTCAATGTCTAGGAAAGTCTGGGCAGCTGTCCCACTGTCACTCTTACTCTTGTTCTTGGCCTCTTTTTGTCTCCGTGTCAGCACTTTTGACAAAAAAAGAAGAAGAAAATGCAAAGAAAGAAAAACTGTTAGCAGTAGAAACTGAATATAAAAGACAAAACGTATAGGAAGAAGCAAAGCTTAAAATCCTATTCCATCAGCAAAAGTGCAGTCTGGGAAATCTCTGCCTTTCTAGTATAGAGAATAACACTGTAATGTATGGACTGAAACTGCCAGCCACAAGATATTCTGTACGTGCTAACAAGATCTATTTATCCCATATTTGCCATGAGATCTAAACATCTAGCCCACACGAAAAAAGGGTCTGTATACTACCCAAACTTGCAGCACTTGATGGGAGGGAAATACACTTCCCAAACCAAAATTCTGTTTGGTGTGACACACACTCCAATGAGGTGAAATATAGTAATGACAGTTACATCTGAGTGCCCACATTAGCTCCAATTTTTACACAACTCTGGAAAGTGCTCCATTTACAAGTGAGGAAAGTGGAGCTCAGAACCGTTAACACAACCAGTCCTTTCTACTATACTAGGACTATCTCCCAATTCTAGTGGGTATAGACAGCTTTAGCCCAGGTGGCATACAAATACTTTGTCTCATACCATCAGGTGTTTGTTTATAAAATCATAGTCTCTTAAAGGATCTTCATTCTGTCTTCATTCCTTGAAGTAACAAGAAAAACATTTCAAACCTTGCCTTCTTCCCTCTTGACACTTGAAATCCCATGACAGAGAATTTAGGAAGGTTATCAGTTCACAAAATAATTTAGGTTATGAAGCATTTATCTAGTCCAGGAGTTAGCAAACTTTTTCTGTAAAGGGTCAGATCGTAAATATTTTAGGCTTGGCAGGCCATACGGTCTCTGTCACGATTACTCAACTTTGCACTGTAGTAGGAAGGCAGCTGATAACACATAAATAACTGGGTGTGGTGTGTTCCAATAAAACTTGATTTACAAAAACAGATGTCTGGCTGGATTTGGCCTCCAGCTGGCCATAGTTTGCCTATCCCTCTAGTCCAACCGCCTACTCATAAAAATGCCTTCTATAAGCATCCCTGACAAGTAATCATACAGTGCCAACCTGACTTTATCCATTCACTGAGGGGCATTCACTTCCTCCTCAGGAAATCCATTCTATTGCTACACAACAATCTGGCTCTGCATTTACGGGGGGTTGCATTTACTGGGGGTTGCATGAATAAGTTTACTCCCTTTTCCACAAGTTAGCTCTTTGAACACTTAACAAGCTGCATTACGAGTCTGGATTTACTAAATTGTCTGCCCCACTAAAATGTAATCTCCTTCAAAGCAGGGACTACATCTAGTCATAAGCCAATCTCTAACAAGACTTGGACTGCAGAACCATTTGAGTGCCTAGGTTAGCTCTAATCCTTGTAACGATCCTTTAGACTGGTGGTGTTATTCTGTTCTACTTTAAAGGTATGGAAACAAACTCAGAGGAATTGACTTTGCCAAGCTATCACAACTGGTAAGTAGTAGAACCCAGGACAGAATCTATATCTGTCTGATTCCTATACCCATGTTATAGCTTCCTAGTTAACCTCCTCTATATACACTCCAATTTGTCAGTGTCTCTTTTTATATGTGGCACCCCAAAATGGACCCAGTACTCAACAAGCAGTCTGACCAGTAAAGAGAACACAAGAACTACAAACTGCCTCATCTAGACTCATATTCTACTAATTCAGCCAAGACCATGTTTGCTTTACTGACAATCTTGGTATACTATTGGCTTAAATTGAGCTTAAAGGCAATTAAGATCCATCCTTTACCCTCCCAAATCATCTTCAAATAAAATGTTATAAAGACAGGTCTCCTAGGGGCCGGCCCGGTGGCGCAAGAGGTTAAGTGCGCGCGCTCCGCTGCAGCGGCCTGGGGTTCACCGGTTCAGATCCCGGGTGCGCACTGATGCACCGCTTGGCAAGCCATGCTGTGGCGGCGTCCCATATAAAGTGGAGGAAGATGGGCATGGATGTTAGCCCAGGGACAGTCTTCCTCAGCAAAAAGAGGAGAATTGGCAGATGTTAGCTCAGGGCCGATCTTCCTCACCAAAAAATTAAAAAAAAAAAAAAAAAAAAAAGACAGGTTTCCTAAATCTATACTTGGGTAACTAAGTTGCTGGGTATTTTCCCCCCTTAAACACAGGACTTTATATTTGTCCCTGTTCTTTTCAGCTGAACATTCCAGTCTGCTGAGATCATCTGCAGTCTTGATACTGTCATCGGTTATTAGCTCTCTTTTCTAGCTTTGTGTCATCTGCATATGTGACAAGCATGCTTTCTACATCTTCATCCAAGTCACTGGGGGGAAATGGTTGTAAAGGATATGGCCAAGGACAATTGTGGCATGCTACCAGAGAAACCTAACTTCTTTCTGGTTCAAGCTTCCTTTTAATACTTAATGAAGCAAATATTTATTGAGAATCTTCAATGTGCAAGTAATTTGGGGAGATATAGGAATGAGGTAGGGTCCTTGCTCTTAAGGAGCTTACAATTTACTAAGGGAGACAGCACATACACTCAAGTAACTGTAACACAAGGTGTAAACAGATATACATAATAAAACAAGATCATACACACAAGCAATTATTAATAGTGTTTGTCTCTGGGGAAGATGACAGGGACACTTTGGGACTGGAATAAGAGGGAGGCATATTTTTCACTATACACTTTTCTGTACTGTTGAATTAAAAAATTAAAAGGGAAAAACAAGAGACCAGATTAAAGAGAGGTCTTAGGTCCAAGTTAGAGTAGACAATCTATTTCTAAGGTTCCTTCCAACCCAGAGATTTTATAAGTGAAAATAAAGTACTGCAGGAGAAAAAGATCCTAGACATAGTTATATAACCACCTTCAAATCCACCTCCTATTCTATCAGCCAGCCCACATTTCTCCATCTTATGTACAAGGACTTCATGAGAGATCTTATCAAGTTATCTTGCTGAAATCAATTCTTAAAAGGCTGGCAACCTCACAGATTGCAGAAACCTTTAAACTTGTTTTTTTTCCTCTCTCTCTTTCTATTTGTCTCCCATCTTGACTACCAAGTATTTTTCCAAAAGAAATACTTGGAAACCACTCCACAGACAGGGCTGGAAAAAGAACTAATTACTTCTAGCACTTTTATATACCTCTATTGCACTTAGCACATTTCTGTTGTTATTTATTTATATGTCAGCCTCCTTTCTACACCATGCAACTTTCTGAATTCAGAGATTCTGGGTTTTGTTTTGTTTTGATCTCTTCGGCACCCTAAGCAGAGCCTGGCACAGATTAGATGCTAATAAATATTTGCCAAATTAAATCACAGCAATGGATTCAAGGGAAAAAAAGACCTCTTGTTTTATGAGGATGGACTCTGTGCCAAGGACTTTATAAACATAATTTCTAACTCTTACGACAACCCTGCAAGGCATGTATCATTATCTGCATTTTATAGATGATGAAATATTAAACCTGATCAAGATCACAAAACTAAAACAACAACAACAAAGAAACATGGTACCAGGAATGCAATACAAGTCTGACTTTAAGGAGGCATATGTTCTTCTACAAGAGTAGCCTGCCTCTCCTGGGTAATAAGAGGGTAAAGGATGGGAATAGAAAAAGTGATAAGTGGTAAGTGATTGGGCAGGTGGAAAAGAATTTGAGGGAAGAGACCTGGCAGATGGCTGAGAACTATATGCTAATTCTACTATTAAATGTAATGATCAGAGTGGACTAGACTGGGTCTTGCAGCTATGTTTTTTCTTTGAAAGCTACTGCCCCTACAAAGGAGCAGAAAGGTTTAAGTTGCTCTAAAGGAGCCTCCTACTCTGGTTTATGAGGGTTGAGATAGCCATTTCAACTAGCTGCAGGCAGAGAATTCAGTATAAAACTTAAATCCAAAAACATAGCTGCTGGTGACAACAGCCAAAGATTTCAAAAGGGAACAAGGGAGTCTGAGGACAACTACTAGGAAAATGTAAGCAAAATAGAAAGGAGGGATTATTGTTGAGAGTGCCAACCTATAAGCCTATAACCATTATCTCAGGCCTTTATATACCATTGGATGGAAAACATCCTAAGGAGCAGCACTTGGGACTTGGCTTGGGACCGCTAATATACAGGGAAGTAGTAATGCCTAGCAGAAAAAAGTGCACTGACTTTTGAGTTGGACAAAACAGTGTCCAATTTGGGACTCTACTAGCTGTGTCGCCTTAGGCAAGTTACTTCACCCCTCTGAGTATCAGCTGACTTACCTACAAAATGAGATGATAACAGCATCTATTCTCATGGGTTTTGGTAAGGATCACATCAGACAATCCAAGTAAGTTGTAAGAGTATCCAGCCCACAGAAAGCACTCAACAAACATTAGCTGTTATTATTATATAATTCTCATTATCATTCTTCCAGATTTATTTCTTAGTCTTATTGAAAGATTTAAGCCCATCCTTAGAACCAGCACCTACCAGCCTGTCTTTGGGTTAGGTCTTAGTCTTAAGTGGTATCAATGCTAATTTGTACAAACAGAATGGAAAATAAATAACTCAAGCATTACATAACAATTATTAATACTATGTAAACATTGGCACATTTGTTTCCAAAATCCAAAGACAACAAGTAATCAAAAATAAAAACATATGGCCTAGAACTGTAAACAATGAAGATAATGGCTCCTTAAGGAGCGCGGAAATTATAAATAGAGAGAAGATAGATTTGGCAGAATGACAGTGGTTAGTCTCCTCTGTTTGTCTTCCTCAATCTCAAAACCACCTCGCATAAAATAACAGAAGGCCACAGAGTTTTGTATTTCCTGCTAAGACCACCCCTCCTCCAACTTTAGTGGGATGTAAGAAGAAGGAAGGAAGGCCCATTCCACCTGCATGGTGTCTGCCTCAATGCTGCCAGCCTCCGCTAAAAGACCAGTCCCAACAAAAAGGCTACCATTAGAACTAATTATCTACCATTCTCTGAAACATGTGGCTGTTTAAATTTAAATCTTAATTAGAATTAAATATAATTTAAAAATTCAGCTTCTTAGTCCCACGAGCCACATTTCAAGTACCCAATAGCCACACATGACTACTCGCTACCATTTTGACCCCACAGATAACAGAACATTCCTGTCATTGCAGACAGCTCCATTGGATAACCACTACTCCTTTAAAAGATAACCAGGAATAATCCTATCATGCCTTAAATCTGTTCACTGTGGACACCACAATAAATCCAAGCCTCTTTTGGCATCCTTCATCACCTAGATTCTCATCCCCACATGATTCTAATCTGTCATCCGGGGAGACTTTTCTAATCTGACTCAATCTCCCACACCTACTCTCGAAATGACTCTGCCCTCCGGAATTCGTGTAAGTGATCAAAAAAATCTCCAATTTTCTCAACTTCCTCTGTGAAAGTTTCCTTCATCTTTTTGCTCTGAAAGATGGCTGTCCCCTGAGGATACTGCTTCTCCTTGCACCTTCTCGAGTACTGGCTTGTTTCTTCTTCTTTACACCACAGTACTTCTGAGCTGGAGGTGGGGTAAATATCCTTTCTCCTCCTTGTTGCTTCCTGACTGCTAGAAAAACCTAGTTTGAAGCACAAACCATTGTGCTACCCCTGCTACCTCACCCTGAAGTAGTCATCTCATATACTTCTTGTCACCTGCCCCACACCAGCCACCTCTACTTCCTGGCCATTCTCATTGAAAAGTTTAACATATCATTTACTGTCTCTTCACTATTCCTGCCATGATTCTTGATGATTTCGGTATCTCTATATTAGACTGAAGCATATGAAGTTACAGTTTTTGTAGGTTTAATCTAAGGTATGATCCATCCAATACTGTGGCCTCTCAGTTCCTTGACCTCTTAGCTATCTACCCCCATGGATCATACCATTTCAGCCCTTCTCAGGTGGGGTTCTGAAGGAGAAGCAAGCCTAATGCCCTAAGGCATCCATTGTACGTAACGTTAACTCTGTCCTCCATATCTAGAATGGTACCAGTTATGTATCATCCTTGGGAGAAGGAAACATTCGATTCATTTTCTGTGTTCTGTGGTTCCAGTGAGGAACTCTGGTTGAACTTGTCAATAATAATGGTGCCAATTCCAAGATCTCAATTTCAGATGTCCCACTCTCTGATCACCACCACCAACCTTTTTCAACTCACTCCCTCTAATGACTTAAGTCCAATAACGCTTCAGCCCCATTAGAAAGTCTAATTTCAGACTACCACCTTTTCACTGTCCATTACCCTGTCATGTTCTCACTTTCCTTCTTACCTTAGATCTCATGGTTATCAGAGTAACAATTTCCTTGAACTTATTTTTAATTTCTATTATACTCCCTGGCAAAATCCAATTTTGGTTAAATCCAACCCTCCACCTATTATGTGTCCCTATCTAAGCAGCACTACAGTGCTGACTAGGCTCACATTATATTTAAGATCACAAATCTCAAGTGGCCCCTCAGCAATCCTAATATGTTTCCATAGTTTATTCTTCTACTCTCCCAGACACTATTTCACATCTTCTCTGCTATCTTCAAACCTCCAATATCTACTTGGCTCTGCTGTCACCATTCTTTTTCATTTCAATATAACAACTTTATTGAGATATAATTTATATATTACATAATTCACAGAGTATAATTCAATGGTTTTAAGTATATTCAGAGTTGTGCAACTATAATCACTATCAATTTTATAACATTTTCATTTACTGAAAAAGAAACTCGTTCCCATTAGCAGTCATTCTCCATTTTCCCCCAAATTTCCAGTCCTAGGCAACCACTAACCTGCTTTCTGTATCTATGAATTTGCCTATTCTGGGCATGTCATATAAATGAAATGATACAATATGTGGGCTTTTGTGACTGGTTTCTTTCACTTAACGTATGTTTTCAAGGTTCATCCATGTTATAGCATATATCAGTACTTCATTCCTTTTTTCCCCCACAGTCGCTGTACCATTTTACATTCCCACCAACAATGTATGAGGGTTCCAATGTCTCCACATTCTTACCAACATTTGTTAATTTTGTGTTGTTGTTTTTTTTAATAGCCATCCTAGTGAGTATTAAGTGTTATCTCATTGTGGTTTTGACTTGCATTTCCCTAAGGACTAATGATGTTTATCATCTTTTCATGTGCTTGTTGGCCATTTGTATATCTTCTTTGGAGAAATATCTATTCAAGTTCTTTGTTTTAACTGGGTTGTCTTTTTGTTGTTGAGTGGTAAGAGTTCTTTATACGTTCTGGAATCTAGACCCTTATCAGACATATGATTTGCAAATATTTTCTCCCATTCTGTAGGTTTTCTTTTCA